CCCCCCCCCCCCCCCCCCCAAAAAAAAAAAAAAACCACCAAACCCCACCCAAAAATAAATAAAAAGGAATCATTTATTTCAAGAACCCAGAATTTATTTAAGAGAAAGGGGAAGATGAAAGATCCTTCCCTATGCTTAAAACATACTTAGAATATTTCTCAATTCTTGACATTTAAAAGCCAACTCAAACATGCTTATGACATTTAAAAGCCAACTCAAACATGCTTATGCTTTTGATGGACTGATCCCAACTCTAAACAAATTCTCATAATAAAAAATGATGAAAGAAAAACCGAACTCATAGTTGGAAGTAGTAATAAGATCCTACCTGTCAACCACTAAAGAAGTAGCGCGTCCTGATGCAAAAGATGTGAGAACCTGGAATTAGAATTATCTTTCAATCATAAGCAAATCACAAACTTAGTGATCTCACATAAGGAATGAAAGATGAGCATATTATGAAGTAATATATATTCAATCTAGGTTAGAGTTACAGGATGGACAAAGGACATACAGCATTCTTGGCCAAAAATAATGCAGGAACTTGGTATTTTTCAAACATAATCTCAGCTGCCCTGCAATATAAGTAAACAAAATTTCCATCATAAAATATAAAACCAATTTTACACACTAAAATAGTGGAATATGACATTGATGACTTGAAATGATACGAGAATTCATCTGTTATCTCGCATTTTAAGTGTTCTTTTTTTTGGGGAGTGTGGGGATTAGCTAGATTCAAGCATTTAAATATATTAGGACCAAACAATTAATGAAAAGCATTATAAGACGACAAATTTCTCATTTTGGGAACTAAACAATGCATTCAATCCATACTTGAGTATTCATATTCATAAAGGATATCTACGTGTAGATGATTGGTATGTAACTTTCCATCAAACAAGATCCTTCACCAAGTTCATGATGTGACTGTCACCATAAAGAAAAATTTCTAGCATCAGTTACAATCTGCTGTGCAGTTGGCACTTTGCAATATATACAAGCATATGTTGCTGACAAAAATCCCATCGGATGACCGACTTTGGAATGAAGAAACATTAAAAACAAAGCTACAGATTACAATCATTATATGAAGCCTGACAATATGACATGGACAAGTAGACACTGCTATTTTACAAAAGGTAAATATTTCTTTCAGATTGTTCAAAATGTTTCAATCTTTTTCTCTACTCCAATTCCTAATCAATAAGATCTTGATAAAATATATATTTCCATGTTCCAGCTGTCGTTTGTCGTCGAGCATCAGGAAGTGTTTCTACCTCAACCATAGATCGTCAACTAAAGACAGTAACTTGAACAGATATTTTAGATTTCACCAAATTAAATCACCTCAACTGAATTAGATTTCAATGTATAAAATCTCATGCCTAATGTTACAGTTATTTGAAATTCCTTGCACATTTTGTGTGAAATCTTAGTTTCAAGACCACCCTGCTTTTAGAATATTTCCCAAAAAACGTTTGTAAAACAAAAACCACAACCGACTGCACTTTTTTAGCTTCATTATGATTATTATTGGTTGGAACCTCTAGTTATCTTGGTTTGTGGCAAATGGCTAAAATTGAGTGGTGCAAATTCTTATAAATAATGAACATATTTCTATCATTGCCTGATTAGTAGGCATATATGTTTCAAAGCATTTTTTCAAATTTAAGAACTCATTCAATCTGAAGCAAGTAAGAACTTGCCTCAAAATTGAAACACTTCAAAAACAGTTGAGCAACATAAGCAACAAAAACAAAAGGTCCCAACGATGCACAGCGAACTTATAACTTTGACAGGACTACTATGGTAAATCATAACTATTTAATCAAAATCATATTTGTCAAATCGCGATTCGTATCGTGAATCGGAATTCTAAATTTGAGAATCGTGAATCGTAAGATTCGACATAAAATTTGAACAAAAATAAAAAATAATACTACATATTTAAAATAGATAAAATATTGAATATTGAATATTGAACATTATTGCATTCTAAAAATAATTAATTGACATGATCATGTAGTCTAAATGGAAAGACGCAAACCTTTTGTTTCATTTTCATCTTTTGCTTAACCATTTTCAAATTCAACAACTTGGAAAAAAAAATTCATTAAAGAGCTATGACTATTCAAGAACCAAAATAGTGATTAGGTTACAAACATGAATGAAAAAAGAACAAATAAAAAAATTGATTGGGAGAAAACATACTGCCAACAATTTGAAACAAAAAATTAAAATATAACAAACTACCATTAAAGAATTGAGGGCAGAAATCAACCAATGATGTGAGAGCATTAGCCTTGATCTTTAGGTTTAGGCAACGCAAGGTGAGCTTTACACGACGTTAGAAAGAGAACGAGTAAAGAGGTTGAGTTTTTATTAGGGCATGAGTTCCTCTATAAACAAAACGATATCGTTTTACTATTTAGCGAACAAAACTACGTCCTTTTGCCAAAAATTTGTGTTTTAAAAAAAAATGATTGAATCGTGCGATTCGTAAGATACAAATCGAATCGTACATTTCAGGTGCGATTCAACTCTAAAAAGATTCTCATATAAGATACGAATCATTTTATGCCGGTATCGAACCAAATCGTACGATTTTGATAACTATGATCAAAATCATCTTGCAGGTCAGGAAAGATAAAATTTTGAAACAAATTTTATGTATTGAAAAGACAGCCAGAAATGTTCCTCTGATTACTGAAAGGGAAGCAATAATTCATATAAATCACCAGACATATAAACGAGATCTCACTGCCAGCTTACTTTTCTCTCTGTTGCTGAGTGTTAGATGATGGTTCTGCAAGTAGCATTGGATGCTCCTTAGGATCAACCAATAGGCATTCCCTAAAAGTAATGAAAGCCAGCAATAACATGAGGCAAGGAAACAAACAAAGAGTATTAACATTACACAAAATAAACAAATAGTTAAAGACAAGGTAGTAAAAAAGAGATAAAAGACAAGGAAAAAAAAATCTAATTGGTATAAAACAAGACACACTACAAGCATCCAAGCCCTTTGGAACTTACAGGATAAAAAATTGTTATATGATGAACACAACATCGCTGTTTTATCCATCAACAACTGAACATGTAGCAGGAAAAGAATGGAAAACATGAAATGCAATTGCTCTATCCTATTTATGCACCACACCAACGACCAACCCTCATTAACAGAGCTGATTTGTGCAGTAAGCATTCTCTATGATACACTCAAAGTATAAATGAAAAGATAATTTCTCTTAATTGAGAAATTTCATTCATCCTATTGCATCAATCCATCTGCACTAAGAATGGCAACGAGATGAAATAAACAAACAAAATTAAATAAATCTGATAAAGAACAAACTAAAATTAAAAGATTCCCACAATGTGCCTGGAGAACAATAATAGCTGTTCTTCTTCCACCATCAATGTTGTCCCACTTGACTATAACTCTACCAGCAACTCTACTGAGATTGATTTCACATAATCTGGAGGAAGATTTAAAGCTGAAATCCAGTGGTCAAAAGCAAGAAAATCTTCTTAAAGATCTGGATTTTTGAAGGACTATATTGGTAGGATAGGATTCAGTCACTTACCGATTTCACAAAGAGAAGATAAATCAATTGGCCGTTCTGATTACAATTATTGCATAAAGGATGGCATACAACATCAGCATGCACCTTACTTCACATCATCTCTTCTTCCTTTTTGAAATAACCACCAAGTTTTTCTTGCAGGGATAAGTCAGTTTTCATCAACTATCAAGCGAATTGGTCATGTCGTAGGAATATAAATTATGCCAAATTTAAGTCATGAAATATGACCCATTTACTTGAAGAGGAAAAACTTCTGCATTTTGGAAACCGAAAAGATGACTAACTAAATAAAATTACAATAATCCTATCAATATGGAGGCATCCAGCAGGAAGGATCCAGGCTCCAGGATTCAAAACCATGTCGAGATACGATAGGTATCAATGTATTGGCACAGAATCAAGAAGTTTCCCAAAGCATTCAACCTGCACTTCCTTGTTATCTATCCCCAGACACAGTGAAATCAAGCTTGCTCTTTGTGGCTTTACGTCATGCTAGAGAATTCCATTGAATAAGTAAACTATGGCCAGAAGTATAATTTCCAAAGACATCTCTTGCTCCGCCTCAAGGCAAGCTGCCTTTAGGGCTGTTACATGATTTGAGCTACTCAGGCTCGGCTCGTTTTTGGCTCGCTCGTATTACAATATGAGGCGAAATTTGATCATTTTCTTAAACTCATTTTTGAACCAAGCCGAGCCGCTGCTCACCTTTTAATACATTAAATACCAACCAGCTAGCACATTACACGCATGCCTTGGGTGATTCAGCCCCTTTTTGTCTTGGGAAGCCACGCACATTGACTATTCCACACCTACCCATATAATGTCTCTCTCTTCTCCCTCTTGAGTCTTGTGATTTTCTCCCTCTGTTCGTCTATCTCCCTTTTTGTTTTAGATTGGCCTCCCCTCCCCGCCCCCTCTCCCTCTCTCTTACCTATGCATCAAATAACCACAAAACTCATGGGTCTTCTCACTCCTCTCTTCTCTGCCTTCTCTCTGTTTTTTTTGTTTTTATTCTAGCTGCATAATGCAACTTGCAGTTCCTCTCCACTTCTGAGTTGCTATGCAACTACCGCCTCTCGAAAATAGGCCATGGAGCTAAAAAAGACCACTACCACCACCACTACGTCTCTAGTAAGCGTCAACACAGTGCCACCGATAAATTTAGTCCTTTTCCTTTGAGGCTCTGTCCCCTGGCTCTCTCTAGGATTGATTTTATTGGAGATTTGTATATACTCTTGGGGTTTTGGCTGAAAATCAAGTATTTTACGGCTTAATTTGGAAGGTTCTTAGTGAGAAACTGAATGATTTGCGGTGTAATTTTTTTTATTTTATACTTAGCTCATTTTTAGCTTGAGCTAGACTCAAAAGCTCACGAGCTCTTGCCAAGCCAAGTTTGAATGAAAATTTAGGCTCGGTTGTCGAATCCCAAAAAGCCCTTTCACATTCAAGCTGAGCTTGAACATATATCTAAACTCGGCTCGATCAACACCACTATTTGCTTTCCCACAAAAAACATCTCTTGCTCAGCCATGAAACAAGTTCTCTTTTCTACAACATGAAAAGTTCCTCAGTTTAGGAAGAACCTGAGGAAAAAATACTTCAGTTGTTTTTATCTGGTATAAACATCAATCTAATAAGATAGCCAACCCTTTAAATTTTATCCACACATATTTTTTTTGCTCATTTTTATCACATCATTCATTTCTATCTCGGGTTGAATCATTTAATATTTAATTTATTTGTGACTCAATAAAAATTTTATTTCAGGCCTTATTCATATGCGATAGTGTACACATGTTGATTTTTTTTAGGTCATGTATTTTGACAAAATTGTCAATTTAAAAAAAAATTGGTAGAAATTAAATTCAATTTATGTAATTAAAAAAGGGAATCAAATAAAAATTTATATTTGATCTAACGTGATCGATTTTTTGAGCGCTTGAACTTTATGTTACATCGTGGATTGAGACAAGGGTTATGACTTGTTTATATAATGTGATGACCTTTAAATCATAGTGAAAATTGAACTTTATCATAGTGCGCACGAAACTTTTTCTTAGCACCTCCATAAACGTCTTTAAGTATTTCAGAAAACTTAATCAAGACTTATACCTATATCCTTTAAGAAACACAAAAAAAGTTCACTTTCTCCACAACTCTCGGCTAAGCAAAGAGAGCCAAAGGGACAACCAAATGGAGGAAAATGTTCTCCTCAATGGAAATTAAGAGTAGGTGGTTAAAAGGAATTAATGTTGCTGTCCACTAGGCATATGAAAAAAGACTCAATTAGGGCCAAATGCAGGTAAAAGAAATTGATGGAGTCTAAAGAGATGACATAGGAAAGGAAGTTGAGAACTCTTTGGTTCAAGAAAACTTCAAGACATCTACTGCAGTAAGTTTTCGGAAGGCTGCAAGCTATTTATGCAAAACATAAGAAAGATGTTAATATAAAGCAGAACATTAAATAATGAGACCAAGGAGACTGTTGTACAGCACAGAATAAACCATAAATACAGATAGACGATTGCTGATTACCTGAAGGCATGGTCCCATATGTTTTCAGCAATATCCCAGTCAACAACAACTCCATCCTTCATGGGTGACAGCACCTGATGAAATAGCATAGTCTATGACCAAAAGAAAAAGGCCAGCAAATATATGTCACATCGTATCTTAGGAATATATAGAACGAACTTACCTGCATTTGATCCCTGCGGTATCCTAAAGCCTGAGATCCTACATATAGCTTCCGTTTTCCTTTGGATTTAGAGTCTACACCAGCTCCTGAGTTCTTCTCTGGCTTATCAAGGTCATCAACTTCCATTTGATCAATTGATCCAACAACCTTTTAACATGGACTTGTATCAGGAATAACAAAGGGTAAAAATAAATATAATAGCAAACCTATTAAAAATAATGTGGAAGGAGAAGAAACTAGCTAACAGAAAAAATATCATATTGGGTGGCTGTGTTAAACATTTAAAACAAGCAAACAAATAGGTGAGAAATTGAAAACAAACTCCGGTAACATATCCATTGGAAATTCCCATGACTGGATCACTCAAGATTCCATTTGCGTAACAAAGGATAAGTGAGGGCAATATTACAACCTACCACCACAAGATGTGAACTGCATCGTTCTAGTCACACATGGCATTAGTGAGTGCATTATGTGTCAAAAAAAAAATGGAAAGACAAGAAAAGAAATTAAAGAAATAGAACCTAGACTGAATATTTTCCTAGTATCACAAGAGCTATTGTAGCATCTTAATGCAGAAAATTACAGCGCCCGAAGCATTGTATTACAAAGAGTCTTCTAGAACTGAAAGTTTCTCTTATGTTTACGGTTCCCAAATTCTCATAATTTTCAATCGATTGAATTGGAGCCTTTCTTGTGTCACAATCCAAGCCATTACTTCCTTGGGAGCTATCTACATAGATTTAATCTGAGATGGATCTTATTACACTATTGACTGGGGTCTATTCTAGTGCTTCAACCGCCGAGCTTAGATATTCTCCAATGGAGCTCTAATTCAACAGCATGCAATGGAACACACCTAACAAGAGATGCATTCATCACCATACTCAATATTTATTTAGTCCATGGAAGGAACTTAAAAACTTTAAATTGACTAAATATTGAACATGCCCAAGTAGATTGAAATAGCAAGAATAAAAACCTGTATTCAAGTTTAACATTCCAATTAAAATTTAAAAGTCATGCCTCCCATATATAATTGACATAAACTCACAATTCCCAATACCAGCTCATAAACGCGGGGTAACTGAGTTTTCAAACAGACAAAAAAGGTAAGTGTACTACAATAAATCAAAACCACCCATCAGAACACACATGGAAGTTCAGAGCTTTCAACTAAAATTTGATGAAAAAACTCACACCCCCAAATCAAGAGCCCCAGATTCTGGGAAATTTCTCGAGCATTCCCTATGCGTTTGTGTGAGTGGACACACAAGCAAGTTGTGGACTTTTACTTCGAATAAACAGTTTTGAAAACCCAATGAGACATACATTGGTGAAACCACCATGAAATCCCCCAAATTTTAGTACTAAAAGCATAGTAGACTTACAGATGGGAACACAGCTTTGGGCGCATCTTCGCCGGCGTAACCAGCTTTGCAGGTGTGCGAACCCAAGTCTATGACTATGGCCGATACCTCATCTAACAACACCAAAAAAATATACAAAATTTGTGAATTTCATAGTACACAAATGCAAGTCAGTGAATGTGTGTGAATCTGTGTGTATGTGTTTGTGAGAGAGAGAGAGAGAAGGGGTGGGGGGGGGAAGAAAGATGATGAAAAATACTCACCACCTCCGTACATGATTGCAAGCTCCGACTGCTGAGGTCGGTCTCTTTCTGGATCAGTATGGTGTTTCCGGGGATTCAGTTGGGGTTTTGAAGCTCTTTTTAGGAGGGGTTCTGGGGCGACCGCTCGAGAGATCGATTCCGGGTCCGGTCCGGTTCGGTTCAGCTTTCTTTAGNATATTTTCCTAGTATCACAAGAGCTATTGTAGCATCTTAATGCAGAAAATTACAGCGCCCGAAGCATTGTATTACAAAGAGTCTTCTAGAACTGAAAGTTTCTCTTATGTTTACGGTTCCCAAATTCTCATAATTTTCAATCGATTGAATTGGAGCCTTTCTTGTGTCACAATCCAAGCCATTACTTCCTTGGGAGCTATCTACATAGATTTAATCTGAGATGGATCTTATTACACTATTGACTGGGGTCTATTCTAGTGCTTCAACCGCCGAGCTTAGATATTCTCCAATGGAGCTCTAATTCAACAGCATGCAATGGAACACACCTAACAAGAGATGCATTCATCACCATACTCAATATTTATTTAGTCCATGGAAGGAACTTAAAAACTTTAAATTGACTAAATATTGAACATGCCCAAGTAGATTGAAATAGCAAGAATAAAAACCTGTATTCAAGTTTAACATTCCAATTAAAATTTAAAAGTCATGCCTCCCATATATAATTGACATAAACTCACAATTCCCAATACCAGCTCATAAACGCGGGGTAACTGAGTTTTCAAACAGACAAAAAAGGTAAGTGTACTACAATAAATCAAAACCACCCATCAGAACACACATGGAAGTTCAGAGCTTTCAACTAAAATTTGATGAAAAAACTCACACCCCCAAATCAAGAGCCCCAGATTCTGGGAAATTTCTCGAGCATTCCCTATGCGTTTGTGTGAGTGGACACACAAGCAAGTTGTGGACTTTTACTTCGAATAAACAGTTTTGAAAACCCAATGAGACATACATTGGTGAAACCACCATGAAATCCCCCAAATTTTAGTACTAAAAGCATAGTAGACTTACAGATGGGAACACAGCTTTGGGCGCATCTTCGCCGGCGTAACCAGCTTTGCAGGTGTGCGAACCCAAGTCTATGACTATGGCCGATACCTCATCTAACAACACCAAAAAAATATACAAAATTTGTGAATTTCATAGTACACAAATGCAAGTCAGTGAATGTGTGTGAATCTGTGTGTATGTGTTTGTGAGAGAGAGAGAGAGAAGGGGTGGGGGGGGGAAGAAAGATGATGAAAAATACTCACCACCTCCGTACATGATTGCAAGCTCCGACTGCTGAGGTCGGTCTCTTTCTGGATCAGTATGGTGTTTCCGGGGATTCAGTTGGGGTTTTGAAGCTCTTTTTAGGAGGGGTTCTGGGGCGACCGCTCGAGAGATCGATTCCGGGTCCGGTCCGGTTCGGTTCAGCTTTCTTTAGGAATGGTATCTAAAAATACAAAAGAAAAAAAAAACAAATCAATTATACACAAAGTAAGATGTTTGTAATATATTTTTCTTTAATTTCATGCGAAGGGAAGTCAAAGAGTTTTTTATTATTTCTTTGCACAATTTTATTGACCAATTTTTTAAAGTAAAACACAAATTCCAAGCCAAATTGTTGCTCTATGTCAAAAAATGAAAAATTATTGTGAGAAGACTCTTTAAGTATTTTGATTACATATTGTTGGAAATAATGCTTATTACATTCCAACAATGCAAATAAAATATTGGTTAGAAAAATAATATATGCTTGTCAACTACTTAGATTAACATTGAATTTTGTCTGATTTGAATATACGCTAAATTTCATTTCCATAAAAATCGAATTCTGATCTGATAACTTAACCGAACTAAATTGCAACAATGTAGATAATAGTTTTAATTCAATTTTATCAAATATCCTCTTAATATAATTGTGCATTTGTATATTTGAATCAGATCAACTTATATAGTTGAATTGGAGAATGATATATAAAGATCTGAATCTGTAAATACATAATATAGTGGATTGGATTCGAATAAATAATCAAAAATACAAATACATATCTAACTAGTCGAATTCAAATTTTGATACAATTCTAAATAAAATCTTATCCATTAACAGGATTACATATATAATTGATTATTTTTAAATAGTACCAAATACTCCCATTACATATTTTTGCCTTTATAGGCAAACTTTTTGAATCTCTTTGTGGTGGTACACAATAATTGAAATCGTGGTTACAGGTATAAAAAAAATGTATAGTGTGCAAGATTTTGTCACTGCAAGGAATAAAGAAGGTTGAATTTATGTAATCTAGCATTCGTAAGTGAGAGAGGCTATTTCCACGATATGGCGTTGTAGGGTGAATTTAGGATATATGGGTATGGGGAGTACCTATAACTCAATAATAACCTAAAATCATAATTGCTAGTATTCTTCACAAAATTAATTATGGAATTCTTTATAATTGCACTTCATTAAAAGAATGCCAATTGGAGGCATATTGATCGTTCATTAGGTTACACAATCAATTATGCACAATGTCTGTTGCTGAAAAATGTGTTTTTGACACTCAAATTTGCAACAGGAAAGATTAATGTTAGTTTTATAAGCAAATATATCAAGGGATATCGAACAATCTTTTATGGCCTTAACTAACTTGTTTGAAAGACCATCAGTTCCTTTCACTTGTGAAAATTCCTTGAAGTACAAAGGAAATATGTAAGTCTCAAGTTTATCATCAAGTATCATGAACTCCATTGTAAACAAAATTTGAAAGGTTAAATTGAATAAAACGAATCAACTTTTTCTTAATTGTAGAGAATTAATTGCTTGGATTTATGCATGCCACATAAAGAAGTTACTCAAAGTTTACCTCCATAAAATGATTGTAAGGCCTGTGAATAGGGATGACAGTGGATCGAGGCAAGGGCGAGGGGAGTAGTCTCCACCCCCGTACCCATTTCAAAAATATTTGTCCACCTCCAGTCAATGCCTATTTGCAAGAAAAATTTTAATCCTTATCCCCACCTGTTAAGAGTGTAAAGTTGCATAATTGATGAGTAATTCATCCATTTTGTGTTGTTGTTTGATGTTTAATATATTGGAATTATGTTAAGTTTAGATTAATTGTTATGTCTGTGTTTGTAGGTGCAAAGGAAATGAAGAGGAGCATTTTAGAATAGAGTTAAAAGATCATGGAAAGCATAGGAAAAGAATAAGATTGGAATATGAAGGAGAAAAGCAGAAAAATGGAAAAGAGTTGTTAGAACCAGTTCTACCGAGAACAAAAGGCCTAAAACCAGTTCTCAACAGGTTCTAGGAAGGACAAAAAGTCTAGAACTGATTCTCAACAGGTTCTACAAAGGCCAGAAAACTTAGAACCTATTCTATACAGGTTCTACACACTAAGTAAGTTACGAACTCTAGGGTTTCCATTTCTTCGCCATGAAGTGACTTCCACCCACTCGCACACTTGATGGGCGGCTCCTAACTCCTAAACAAGCACTCCCATTGGACGACTTCACCTCCCCACAACAAAAGCAAGCATATTCATTGGTTGACACCAGTAAAGGGAAATTTTTTGGGGAAGCTTCCACCACCCAAGCCTTTCATCTTAGCCAATGGGAAGAATGAAGATGATATATATACACACACACACACACACACACACAAATATATATACTTACACATAGAGGGGACTTTTTTTGTTGAGATTTGGAGTGGTAATTTTTAAGTTTTGCTTAAGCTTTTGTATTTCCAGGTTACGGACAAGATAACAGAGGATTTTTTTTTTTTTCATTTTCAAAAGTTTTTATTGAATAGGTTTTCTTTGTATTTGAACATAGTCCATTGAAGCTAATATGAAGGTTGTTTCTTCCTATCTTGTTGTTTATTTTCATTATTTTTACATGTCATTTTTACACTGCATTCAACTTGTTCGATTTGATTTTTAGCTAAGGTTCGCGCGCCATCCAAGGGATGATTTTTGTTTGTGAATAAGCCTTATTGATCCTCTAACATATACTTACCACGAAGTATGCTTTTTGGATGGTAAAAATCACTTTCAAAAACTAGTATTTATTTATGCATTTTGTTTAGTCGTCGACGAATCTCCAGCATGATTAATGCTTAGAGTATATAGATTTACATCTACGTATTTATCATCAGAGATTCTATTACTGATCTTCAAAGTTACACATCTTTCATCTCGGGTTTTTATTGAATATTTTTTGTCCGAATAAATTTGATTATGAGATTGGGTGAGTTATAGATGAGGAATAATAAACTTGATCTCGACAAGACAATTTCTGAGGATTGGTTGAGTGTTTTCTTATTGATTTCAATACATTAAAACTCATTCCACCATTTTTCCACAAACCAAAGGATTTTTACTTTATGTTTGAATATATCACCAATCAAATTGCATTTTTACCTAAGGAGACGACTTTGGATTTATCCAAGTTACTACACTGCAAACTTTTCTTACACTTAAGCAACCTATCATTATATCTTACAAAAAAAGTGATTCATCAAAAAGTGACAAGCATTTTTGGCGTTGTTGTCGGGGAATGGCGGTGTATTTGAAAGGTGATTCGAATAGATGTCGCGTAAGTCTTGTGATTTTCATCACAATCTTAGGTACATTTTTCATTGTGAATGTATGTGTATTTTTTTTGTTTGTAGTATATTTGCATTTTATTTAATTCGGCCACATGTGGGCATGTGATAATAACAATAGACTTGTTGACAAGGCTTAGACACATATAGAGAAATGGATGACATTAATCTAAATGAGGGGCATAACCTAAGAGAGGGACAAAATCTAGGAAAAGGGCAAAATCCCAAAAATCCTATAAATGTTCTCTCATTAGTTCCACCTGTTAGAACAATGAGAGAGTATTGTCAACCCCCACAGAAATATGTCCCCATCATGCATTATATTGCATGTATAAGGTTATGCATTTGTCATTAAATCGGGAATGCTCCAACTATAGCTTCAATTCCATGGAGTAGATAGGAAAAATCCTTATTTGCACATTAAATAACTTGAGGTGGTGGTTGGAACATTGATTGATCAGGATGTGCATGAGGAAGTAGTAAGGATGAAATTCTTTCCATTTTCTTTAAAAGACAAAGCTAAAACTTGGTTGAATTCTTTGAAACCTCGATTGATTGGGACATGGGCAAATATGCAAAAGAGTTTTTGAAGAAATGTTTTCCAATACACATAACTACATCTTTGAGGAAATTGATTCAAAATTTTTTAGAAAATGAACACGAACAATTTTATGAATGCCAAAAAAGATTTAAAGATCTTTTAAACTATGTTCCACATCATGGATTTGAGCCTTGGCATCTGATTAGTTTCTTCTATGAAAGAGTTACCCTTACACATCAACAATTCATTGACATGATGTGCAATGGTGAATTTTTGAATAAGGATCCTGAAGAAGCATGGAAATACTTTGATACCTTGGTAAAAAAAATGCACAATTTGGGGATATTTCCAACCTTGCCAAGAGATCAAGGTCATCCAATGTGCCCTGATCAACCAGCAGAGGAACATATGTACTAAGAGACCAAGATGAGCTGCATGCTAAAATTGCTGAGGCTAATGAGTCGTGTATCATTTGTGATACAAATGAGCATTCCACTTGGGAATGCCCTACCATCCTAACTTTTAAAGAAGTGTTGTACGAACAAGTCAATACATTTAACCAACCCAAACAATCATTTTCTCCATATTCGAACACATATAATCCTGGATGGCAAAGCCGTTCTAACTTTAGTCGAATAAATGACAACACTTTTGCACCATATGCATCTGTACCATCTGCCCTTCCCATCAAAAAAAATTTGGTCAAGGTCTGTCTGCGAGTTCTTATTATCCCACTAGTGCAACATAATTTCTCAAAATTCGTCACAGCAAGGTCTTGGTCCCTAAGGTCAACAACCCAATGCATACCAAACCCTTCACATGAGAAGTTTAGAGGATATAATGCATCAGTTTATTCAAAGTCAAACGACAATCAACAACCAAAATGCACAAGCCTTGGTGACATTAGAACTCAAATCACCAAGATGACAAATTCTTTGGGTATTCTACAACAAGAAAAAAAAAAAAANCATGTATAAGGTTATGCATTTGTCATTAAATCGGGAATGCTCCAACTATAGCTTCAATTCCATGGAGTAGATAGGAAAAATCCTTATTTGCACATTAAATAACTTGAGGTGGTGGTTGGAACATTGATTGATCAGGATGTGCATGAGGAAGTAGTAAGGATGA